CTCTCTCCCTCCCTCCCTCTTTGCTTCCCTCCCTCCATGTTTCAACTCTTTATCTTTCTATCTATCTTAGAGTTATGTTCACATTTTGTTTTTTAAAAATTGAAGAAAATAATGAGCATAATTATTTACAGTTATTGTTTACAGTTAATGAAAAAGGAAAACCTTTTGATGAGGACAAAATGGTAAAAAGATATATTTTTATCTTGGTAAATTTTAAAACCTTATAGTTACTTACACCATTTTTCAAGTGAACTCTCACTGCTGTGAGTGAAGTCTGATTTGGGAACAGTCATCTTTCAAGTATAAGAAGTATATTTCCTTGATTGATAAGCTGGGTGACTACACAGTGAGTAATCACCCTCTCAGGCTCCTAAATGGTTAGTATTACAGGTACTACATAATTTTCATACATAGCATAATAGCAATGGACAAGGGTTTAGTAAAACTGAGAATTTTATTTTGACTCTATTCTAATCCAAGAGTCATTCTGTCTTTCTTTATTCAAGATAGCTTTGAATACTTAAAAGCTGAAATAACAGAGAGTAAATACAATTTTAATTTGTATATTAAAGATGTGATTTGATTTCTGTTCTGCTGTGTGAAAATCATTCAGCCAGTGTTACTTACTAATCTTATTTTAAATTTTCCATTGAATGTACTACATGACAAATATTTGTCACTCCAATCTTTCAGCCAATATTTTCATCTGGGAGCTTATTAAATTGAGCTGATTTAATTGAGATTAAAATTTTCCTTTTTTTACTGAAATATTGCAACTTGGGTAAAAGATCAAGCTGTTCCTTTAATTATGATTTATGTTTGTTTCAGCATTAACATTAATTTGGCCTATAAAATCTTCCTAGATTTTGAAAAAAACCTATCCATAAGCACACTGCAGACCTTTAGAATCTATTCGCACATTCACATCTGTATATACAATATTTGAGCTTGAAAAGGTTAAGTCAGATAATAACTGACTAGTAAGGATAATATAATTATTGTCAGATACCAGGAAAAGCAAAATTATAATAAAAACCTCAGTGTTGAAGTTTTAGTGTGATGTGTTAGAAAGAAAACATCCAGAAGACTTAGAAAATGGGTTCCAAGTATTAACTGCATGGCTATGGGGACGTTACTTAGATTCCCTGTGTTGTGATGATTTCATGTATAAAAAGTACAAGTATGACCATACACCAAATAACTGGATCTGAAATAGAAAATTATCATGACAACTAAAAATCATAAGAATGTACTATAGGCTTATCTAAGACTCATGAAATTTTGTACTCTGTGTGGATAATGGACTGGAAAATAATTACATCAAAAGAAAACTAATGATCAAGTGGGAATGTTATGTCTTTGGACACAAGAGCCAAGCCAGAGAAGAACAAGTGTGTCAATCTTCTATAACTTTACCATCGTTAATTAACAAACAGTCCTCCGCCCTAAAATTTAAATTGCAGTGAAAAGGAAAAGCTAGACTCTTAGACACAAGTGTCCTTTTTATACTGAGAAATATTGCTAATACTGTCTTAAACAAATCCCCCTAGGTAACTTTATTTCTAAAGCAGGCATTCAAATATAAAATATGTCTTTTCCAATAGAAAAATGGATTAAAAAGGCTTTTTAAAGCCATGTTCCCCTTAGGCTTAATTTTCCACAAGTCTGTCTTTTCAGGCTGATGATCTTTCCTTTGACCTGTGAAACATCCAGATTTCATGCCTTTCTCAATTTTCTACCTGTAAGTTAGGCCCATTTTACTCAGACACTATTTCTATTTTAATTGATTCTATACCATTTCTATATAGTTCTATACTAGAGCATGACTTTCTATCTAAATAAAAGCAAGAACTTTTGCATACTATGAAAGAAACCCTACTATATAGTTACACTATATAAAATCAGTACTGTCAACTTTCCATATTTTGGGAAAAGGACACTATATAAAAAAGATCTCTTGTAAAGTTTCCTAAAAATTGGTATTTGTTCAATGTGCATTGGTACTAGCTATTAGATCTGCCAATAAAACTGCCACAAATAATTTCATTATTGTTTCTTTAACACATCACCCCAAACTGCATGATCCTCTCTGCAGTTCACATCCTTAATATGGTTACTTGCTATCACTGTCCCTTGTCTCTTGTCAAATCCAATTGTTATCTGCACAGATCGCCAGATCTAAATGTGAAACTGTCTAAAAAATTTAACGTCAACACTGATTCTTAATATAGCAGCCACAACTAACAAAAACCTGTTTGGAGTAAAGAATTTCGACTTTGTCCTAGTATATAGTATTAAACAATGTCAGAGCTGTTTTGGACAACTATATCCAGCAAAAGAAAAGAATATGAGATATTTTAATTGAAGTGTAAATAAATGGCTTCTGAACCTCATGCTCCTATCACCAGAAATCTATTTGAAATCAATTGCTTTTGAAAGCTTTACAGAACTTTTATTAAACGTATTCTCAAAGTTTTAAATGGACATGATGTGTCATATCCATCATTAAACTGTGGATGAAACATTATGTAAATTATCTGGATAAAACAATAGCTGACAAGCCATATTATTTTAATTTTAAGAAAATGGGTGTATTCTTTTGTGGTTAAAATGTTAACTTATATTTATTATACTTGGAACATCCGGGAGAGTCACACCTTTCAAATAAAACTATAAATTAAGTTTGCTTGTAATTTAAATTTGCTTTGCTAGTAAATAATGAAAAAAAAATATTGCACAGATCTTAGAAAATATTGCACAGACCTTAGAAAATATATCTATCATAGTAATTATTATATTGGATAAAATGAATTTCTATTTATTATTTGTTTAACATTTTATGAATTCTTCTAAGTATTTATAGATTTATTATTAAATAAAATATATTAGGTAACATTTTCTACATCAGAATTCACATAGAATGAAATGAGTCTTGATTAAACAGTTACTTACAATTCTAAAAAGCATATCAGCTTAAAAGAAATGTTCCCACAGATTTTTCAATTATTTAGGAGTTATATCTGAGAATCAGAGAAAATGAATTTTCTATCTTAGCAAAGAATAAAAGCACTATTAACACAACGTTATAAATCAACTATACGTCAATTAAAAATTAAAAAAAATAAAAGCACTATTAAACAAATTGATAATTAGAGTTTACATTAACATTAAATTAAACTTAACTACATTTAGTTCAATGGCCATTTTTTAACAATGACATTAACTATGGAAAAAAATGTAAAATTCTGTGTTAACATGTCCTGAAAGGATATAGTTGCTTTCACTAAATTAATAAATATTTTAAAGAAACTACCATGTGCCAGACACTGGACTAGATATTCTAAAAGGCTGTACCATTGCTATGCTATTTTAGGATTAAATATCCTAGACAAATATTAGTCCTTTTCTTTTTAACAGAATGAAAAATAGCAATTTCCCCATTCCTCTAAAAATTGTAATTAAATTTAATAGCAGAAACATTTACACACAGAATAAACATTTTAAAAGGCCCAATGTTTAGTCTTTACCCACTATTATTGTATACATAGACTTTGAAAAGAGTTGTTTGTGATTTGGTCTTATTAACTTGAAATATTTTTGAGATGTATCCATGGTTTGAGAGCCTCACAAATATTATACATATAGAGACATACACATACACGCATTCCCACAAAAACACACTAGGATGAATCAGTAAGTCATTCTTTCGGGGCTTTTCTTTCCCACTGAAACTTCAAATAAAAATCAAAGGGTGAAGAAGTGATAAAAATGTCTCTATGTGCTCATGTTTTAAAATTTTAAGTAAAGATTGTTTAAGTAAAAACAATTTCCTGTTCAATATCAAGACAAAATATGTTGGTGAATACCTTTGAAAGATTTATGCCTTTTTTAAAGCTGCTTTCTTAGTTGTGGTATCGATTTGCTCACCATCTATCTATATATAAAATAAAGAGTAGAATTCAGGCCAAAACAAAAAGGTTATTTTGGAAATGGAATTCATGAGAGGTAGAAGGGCCTTGAGAGGATCTAAATCCAGCCCTCCTGTTGTGGATGAGACCCTGAGCGCTGCGCAAGCCCTGTGGCTAGTCACAGTTCACAGCAGAACCTGTACTCAAAATCAGATTTCCCAGCCTTTATTCCAAAGTTCTTTCTACCATAAGATGCACTTTCTTCCATTAAGTATCATATAATTGAGGAAAAGACAAGATTCAAGTTTTTTCCATATAACTGCCTCAATTCTCTAATTTGCTTTGTCTTTGTAAACACCGTGAAAGCCTGTTTAAAATAATAGTTATGAAAACAAATTGTGCATGAAACTGGACCCATAAAGTAACCATTCTTAAATTTTTCCCCACAAGTTATGCATAAAATAATTTAGAATATTTGTTAAGTCTTATCCTAATATGTTTCTATTGTAAAGGAAAAGATGTTTTTGCAATTATGCTTCTGATAGAATATTAGGCATGGCATTCATTCATTCATTCATTCATTCTTCTTGAAGTCCCAAAATGAATGGAATATTTACCAGATATACAAAAAAAATCTTAAATAAGTAACTTTAGTTTATCTTGGGATTGTTTGAAGCAATTCTTGAAATTGGTCACATTTGCTCACGGAGATAAAAATAGACCTCAAACAATTAATTTCCACTTGTGTATTGGATATAAATTTTTAAAAAAATTACAAGAAATATCAATTTTCTAGTTAAATTATATCATTGTTATGAAAAGTACTTTTTAGAAAGTGTCTCTTAAGAGCACACATTTTATTTAAGTTTAAAAAACAGACACTACTATCAAATTATGCAATTATGCCACTACTGTAATGTAACTTGTCAACTTGAAAAAAGTGTACTATGATATAAACTGTATTTTAACCATGAATTGTATTAGTAAATAGGCTACAGCAATATAAGTGTTTTTTTAGTTTGAAATTTGAGGTTCAGTATTGTTTTGAAGCTAATAAAATAAACACAGGAAGCCTCATTTAAAATCCTTTGAATATTTTAAAGTTCATAGTTTATTCTTGGCTTTTTTTTTAACTTTTAGTTTCAGCTATAGGTGTCATGTGTATAAATTTTCAGATACCATGGATTGTTACTGAATCTCAAAGGGTATTTCCACAAACACAGCAAATGAAAAGTGTTGTCTTTACACTTGTATAGACAGTATAATACTTTTCATTGGTTGTGGAGAACAGACTGTCTTACTTAGCTCTCATTATTAACCAGGATAGAGAACTCAGAACTCAGAACATAAAAGATTTAGGTAGTCACATATTTGTAATCTGGGACAACAATATAAATATTAGGACACATTGGTTCCACCGTCAAGCTGCACTCAGCAAACTCAACCAGGTACTAAACATATTTCAAGAAACTTAAAATTTCATAATATTTCTTTAGCTTACAGTTTTTGCATAAATTGCAATGTCTTCTCAATGAAAAAGCTTATAATATACACCCACATGAAAGGTTTTGTAAATTTAAATTTGAGTTCTAAGTCATGATTTAAAGTATAGGTGCCAGAGGAGAAAATCTCAAAACATTTGAAAAACAAACTGTACTACAAAACTCATTGTTTAAAAGATATTTAGCACTTATGTTTATAGGTGTATAACTACCAATAGCTATACGTAATAGCTAAATACGATAATAAAACTCTTTAAGTATTGTCATTAATATGTTTTCTTCGTACTGAGAACATTTATCATCAAATAAATTTACTTTCAAATAGTAAGTCTAACATGCAGATTACACTACTTTATAAGAGTAAGAACATCATCCTGTCATTTCTGTGATTCAGTGACAGCGGAAACTGTACAGTATTGAAAAGTTGGTGAATAATCGTGATCATCTTATACTGGCTTCTGTGTCCTTAGTCCTTCTCTGTCCTACATAAAAGCACAAAATATTCCCCAATATACCCATCATCTCCACCTAGACAAAAAAAATGTCTATTTTTATACTTGAAAATTTACTAGTACTGATATGGAATATAATTTAAAAAATGGTAATATGACTTATGGAATTTTCCTCCCATCAAAATGCTACTTCATCATTCTCCTTTGCCTGGACATTCATTGATAGTACTGTTCTAGTTCTAGACTGGCACTGCTGTAACACCAAGAAACATATCATTCTAGAGCTAACAGTGGACTTGGAGAGAGATCCTACCTCCAGGACATGATTATTTATTTAAAAATGTGCTTGGTCAGAATCATGTGCACAATAATTTTTTTTGGTATTCACACAGAGGTTGTCACGACCCTCAATGGATCTTTAACTCTGAAAACCACCATTCCCTGCACTTCTATTCAAGCAAAAATATCAGAACATGATTCACAAACAAAAAATAAAATCAGAAAATTCTTTGTAAAATGCAGTTTCTGTCAATCTCCTTACCTGAGACTCAGTAGTAAACCATCAACCAAGATGGTGTTTCTTACACCTATTAATGAATATCATGTTATAAATTTGAATGTTCTAGACATATAAATTTCAACGAGAAAACTAAAATCTTCTATCAAAAGCCATAAATTGTGTTCATAAAGATTTGAGTACTTAGGCAGACTTCATTAAGGTAAAAATAGCAGACAAAAGCAATTTTCACAAGTTTACTCTTTCCCTGTCCACTGTGCCTTAAGTATTACTGTCAAGTAAAGAGTCTAAGCTGTATCCATATGCTTTTCTCAGGTAAAAATTGTATCACTTTTGTAAAGCAAACCATATTTTAGAAAAAGGATGCATACCCTTCTAATATTTGGACATCAATTGAAAAACAACCCACCTATTATGATTACTTAAAATCACTTGTATCTAGCATGAAAAACATAGAGAATCACTTTGTACTTCTTTAGTCTTGTCTATGGATACCCACAGGGCAAAAGTGATAACAGGCTAGTGGTGATGTAATTTAAAATTCTATTTTCTGAGGGAGAAAAAAAGCTGCCTTATAACAATAACAATTAACTACAGCAATTTCAATTTAATAAAGTTTTGGGGATTTTCCTCCTTCTTATCTAAAAAGGCCAAGTATGGTTAAACCCATATTTTTTTGTTTTGTTTTGTTTTCTAAATTTAAATAGGAACCAGCTCAGTCAGACTGACACTTAATGGAAACTTTTTTAAGAAATAATTCTGCACAGGAAAGAAAGCAATGAGATACGTAGTTAAACCACTTGAACCAAGAATATCAAATACTTTTTGTGACCATGAGATGAGTACAGGTTTCCTCTAGATTTCGTCACTAGCATTTAAAAGTATTCCACTCTAAAAAATTATTATTCATTTATGAAGCAATTGCAATCATAAGCTAAAGTACCAGTGGCAAAGAATTGAACGAAACAGCTTATTTTTCAAAAGTTCTTCCTTATTCTCTCAACAAATGCCAGAGTATTACATCTTTCATTTCTTGCAAACTCTGTCACTAGGTTCCCAACTCCCTTTTTGCCTTTCAATCTCATACACTTATTTAACAAACCAGCATGAGGCCAACTTTCCAAAGATCACCGAATTACTGGATTATGCAGGTTCTCTCTACTTTCCCAATTTCCTAATGAAACAAGGGCACCAGTAGACATATTGAATTCTGTTAAATACACAACAAGCACAATATTTAAAAGCCCTTTATCACCAACTGGTGAATCCCGAGTGAAAGAGGGTAATTCATGGAACGATGAAGGAAAGAACAGCAGTTTACAAATTCTCTTGCTAGTGATAGAATTTCGAGTGCAAAGATAGTATCTGTGTTTTCTTTTCTACTTATACTCCTTCTTAAAACGGGATCGCCAGCCCTGGGAGCTTCTGAGAAGGGCCACCACTCATTTTCCTTGCAAACAACCTTCCCTGAGCGCAAAAGCTATGAGTGCTGATACCCTGAATGTGGGATCAGATGCGGTGTGGTAGGAATAGGGACAGGGAGAGGCGTGGCATAGTGTACCCTTCACTATGAATCCAAGACACTGGAAGAAAGGCGAGACTCTAGATGGGAAAGTGTGAGAGTGTGCCTGCCTCCTCTGGGGCACTTTGCTCTCAATGTCTCCATGGCTCAGGGCTGCTCTGGTGGGCAAGAACCCATCGGGGTACATGCAGGTCGCGCCCGGGAAAGGCCAGTCCTCCCAAGGGAAAAGGTGTCTGGGGAGTAGCTCGGTTTAGAGCTGGTGTGGGAGCGCCGCAAAGGAGAGCGTCGCAGGCTTCTCTCTCTCTCTCTTTTTTCCCCCTCCTGCAGCTTCGACTTCTCAGGAATTCAGTCTTCGCAGCCCGTGCAAAATCAGGGGCCACCACGCAGGTAAGAAACTTGGTCTTAGGGTCCTAGGAGGTTCTTAATGAGCCTCGTGGAACCTTCTGGGGGCCTGGCACGTTCTAGTCTCCAGCATTTTCTCCTTCCACCTATGAAGCGCCGCCACTGGGCAGGCCCTGGCGCCTCCCTAGAGGGAAAGGAGAGTTGCAGAGCCGCGTGGTCTTAAGCCCACAAGAGCTGAGAGCTGGAGCCTCCTTGGCCCGCGTCTTCTCCGGTGGATCACCTTTTCCAACACCATTTTGGGCATCTCAACTCCCGCCACAGCCGGTCGTCCTCAGATGTGTCCGAGTGTGCGGGGTGGGGGTGGGGGGATCGGTGGGTGGTTGCTAGTTCTTCGCTAGGACCCCTCCTCTGCTGGACAAATCCGTAGGGTTTGATCGTCCATTAACATTTGAAACAAACAAACAAACAGAAACTGTAAGTAGAAGTAGGGAAAGGCTCTCTCTTCCTCTAGTCCCATCGCAGCAGACCTGAGAAGGGGAACGTGCCTTGGGTTTGTTGATGTTTGAGACTCATCCTAACGGCAGAGGCAGGGAAGACACGACGAAGAGGTGTCCCAAAGAAACTGGACGACTGAGCAGTCCCTGCCTGCCCCACCGCTTTCGGGAAGGTTCCAGTTCTGTGCCAAACGGCAACCAATCCGGTTCCCATGCTGATTCTCCACCCCTTCGCGGAGAATCCGAAAAGAAAATATGGGCCCCTGAGAGACCCAACACACTTCCAGTCTGGAAGTTCCGGGGGACCCGGGCCCGGGTCTCCCGCCCGCTCCCCACCCGGGCCGCCAGGTCTGGCTGCGGAGTGGCACGGCTGGGGGTGGGGCCCGGGATTCGCGAAGTCAGAAGCCTCCGCGTTTTGCGGGGGCACCTTCGCCCACGGACACGCCCTTTCTGCGCAGGCAGCCCGCAGCGACCCTCTGCTAAGCTCCAGCTCCTCACTCGCGACGTTGCCAAACTGCTCAAGGCCTTTCCATCACTCCCAACTTTCGAAATTCGCCCGGGCCGCGTCTCTCCCCGCAGCCAGACCCCAACGGGGAGAGGAGCCTGGAAGGCCGGGGACGCCGAAACTCCCCGCAGGCTTCGCGGAACAGACCCTCATCCTTTCCCCGCCCCTCCCCTCCGCCTAGACCCCCGCCCTTCTGCACGCACCCATTCTACAGCTCCAGTCACCAGAGGCGCGGCGCACACAGCCCATCTGGTGGGATGTGTCTTGCGATCACCTAACACGCGACCCAGAGCGAAAACACCGAGGAAAGGAAAAGATCAAAAAAGTGCTACCTTGGCAACCACAGGCGTTTAGAGGCCAGCTGGTGGGCTGGGAGGGGCGGCCGCTGCCCGCCTGCCGCTGGTACTCTCCTCGACTACGCGTATTCTTAAGCAATAACAACGTAATCCGTATTATCCACCCAAGAATACCCGTCACCGAAGAGAGTCAGAGGACCAAGCTGCTGCTGCCGCTGCTACCGCTGCCGCTGCTACTGCCGCCGCCACCAGAACTCTTGCTGCTGAGCCCGCCCCTGGCTGGGGCTGGGCTGAGCTTGACCGGGACCATAAATCCATAACTCGATTTCCCTAAAGAAGGATCCAAAGCTGTGCTCGGCTGCTTCCTGCCCAAATCCAAATGGCTGCTCTATCTCCAATTCTGAAAGACAAATCACAAAACCAACCACTTAACACAGAAGAAGAGTGCACTCTTCCCAGTGAAGAAGGAGGACGTGGGAAGGCTCTTTGGGCACAGGGTGGGCGTGACAAGTAACGTTTAGTTTACCTGGTGCTCTCCCAGTGCCTTCCTCTGTCCTTGTTCTGCTTGGTACCCTCTCTGGTCTCAGCCAGCCCACTCTAGGTGCTTTGATTGAGTGTCATGGCAGCGAGAGAGCCCTGTAAGAGACATGCATAGTTAAGCACACAAATATTACAAATGTATTTGCCTAGACGGCTTTAAGAAAAAGTGAGGCTCAAATAAAGATAGGGTCATGCATGGGTGAAATTTTCAGCAGTGTGTTTTGGAAATGCATTTTCTCAAGCCCAAGATCACAGAAAATAAACACTCATTCAATTTACTACTTGAAATCAAATACTTATAGATCTACAAAAATAGGCATCTCTCCTTTGAAGGCCTTAGAGCTATACAACATAATGATTTTTAAAGGGAAAAAAAAAGCTTCAAAGCACAAAATAATTAAACTCATTTTCCATAGTATCAGAACTCACTGAATTGGCAAGCTGGTAGAGTTTCCATGATTTAGGCACTGTTTTGTAGTACCACGATGTGTAATTCCATAGCCCACATTTTTAATACACAGTATAAACACATTGCTGTGCAGTTGTTGTGAACACCTCTACAGAAAAACCTTTGAAGCTCTGTCTTCATAAAAAAAAATTTAAGAAAAAAAAAAAACAGTATAAACTCATTTGCAAATTGACTGTAATTTTGGTTTCCAGAGAGAGAATCTCTGTGATTCTTTGATGATCAATATGGCTCTTACTGGAAAAGCTTTGTCTTAAGATCCTGCAGTGAATATTCTGATAATAGGGGTTTATTGTTCACTAAATAAAATGAACAAGTGCAACGTCACTACCCAAGACATGTTGTGGTTCCATTAGAAAGTTCTCAATTTGCTTTTCCCTTTACTCTCAAATACATGGAAGTACATCCATGTGAGTGGAATAGGGAGGGGTATATGGAAACATGGCAATAGACGTTATGATTCCTCAAATTATGTAAGTGCAAATAGCTCTTCATCAAGGGATAATTATATAACAGAATCTCTCCCACTACCACAACTCATCTCTAACTGACCTGGTTGCAATTTAAGGCATTTAGGTGGTGCTTTCTCTTATTACTGTTATTTTTTAAATATATGACTTCTCCAACACACCAAGTCATCATTTTCCTGACATGTTACTTACAAATAGAAAAATCAACATGAATTCTAGGTTTTATGAACAGCTGTTTAGTATATAATGCCTGATGCCTAAAATAACTCAAAAGAAAAGCAGCATTGCCCAATTAGTAGCCTATTTTACAGTATTTTCAGATGACTTTTAAGTACACCTTTCACAAAAAGACAGATGCCAATTAAACAAATTAATAAGTGCTATTTTCTGCCATTACCTAACATAGCTATAAAGTGAAGCTTTTCTCTGGGGATGCTACAACCAAACACACACACACACACACACACACACACACACTCACACAGAAAGCTGACAGGTTCTCTTCAGCTTGAACTCCTAGAAACAAAAGCCCTTAGGGAAAGTAATGCAATAGTCTGTGAGCAAAGTGTACATTTGTTCCTGAACTCTTCCATTTAAAATCAACTAACATTAAAAGGAAAATAAGAAACACATTATAGAGACAGATTTTGATTTAGTAAATAGAACATTCCTTTTGAATTAAAAAGGATTATCAAGGCATATATACACCACACACACAAACACACATACATATGTATATGCATATACATACATACATACATACACAACAATACATGGCATATCAGAATCACAGCATAAATGCCCACACAGCTTTTCAATGCTTTCTGAGTAATCTCCTTTAGTTTTGCTTCCTCACAATTGGAATAAGGCACACACACACACACACATACACACACACACACATACACACTGACCCACAGACTCACACGCTTTAAGAAACTAGAACAACGCAGTCAATATGCTTTCTTTTTATCCAAGTAGTCAGTGCCAGCCCTTTCCCTACCTACCTAAATGTTCTCCCAGCTTCAGCACCTGGACGAGTGGACAGCTCACCCCGGGCCGATTGCCGGCAGCACTCGCAGCAGAACTGACTCTCTTGAGCTCTAACCAAAGCTCTCTCGTGCTTCCGCGGGGCAGCCTGACTTACGAGAACACCATTTCCTACGAGACCACTGCCGCTGGGTGCATATTCAATTCAAGCCTCCTTAAGCTGTCGGATTTCCCCCACCCATCCACCCTCCCCCCCTTCTCCACCCTCCACACAAAAACGGAAAAGGGAAAAAAAGCCCAATACCATCAGGGCGTTTGTTGATCAACTTACACTTTGCTTTTGAATATTTAGATACTGCTAGCGGAGCAATATCAACGGAGGCTTAGGTCTGCATTAAGTACCTTTGTTCATCGAGTCCTGCAAGCCATGTTTATTAGAATCTACATTTCTCTAGCTCCCCAATAACTAGAGGTGTGTTTTGCGGGCAAGGGCTTTCAGCACCTTTTGATCTCTCAAGGCCACCGCGACTGACTGCCAGTCCCCACTACTTTCCCACCCTGTCCCCCGCACTCCAACACCCATCCCAGTCAAACGCTTGGTAATTTGCGACCAAATATACATAAAGAAACGCGACAAAGCAATCGGTTTGAGGAAATAAGCCAATTAAGCTAAAGCAGAAATGCTTCTCTCTCTCCCCTCCTCCCCCTTGCCTCCCTCCCTCTCCCTCTCTCTTTCCCTCTGAAGTAGAAAGGGGGAAACACCGAGGAGAGGGAAAAAATCGGGAGGAGTGTGATAGTCGACTCTTACAATCAATGGAAAAACACTATACACATCTTACTGAATAATACTGTCGTTCTCAGACAAAAAGAAACAGATTTATCGATGTAAACATAGTCTCCCTGTTCCTCACATCCTACATCCTTTACGTTTGCTGAGATTTGTCTTGCGGTATAGCAAAGTAACTGTCACAAATCCATCTCGATTGAAGAGCTTACCCTCTAAATCCAGGTTTCAAGCGGAACTCCAACTGTGTGTAGAAGCCAGAGAGTCATCTGATGAGCAGTGAGGTAGGCTCTGGGCAGTGGGAGCTGCTTCCCTCGGAGTGCCGGGTTACAGTGTTAACAAGCCCTAGGAAGGGACCTCGGTGCCTTGCGCTGGCTGTGCCCCAGTGCCTTCGCATGGTGGCGGCTTGCTCACGCTTCCGAGGAGTCCCAGGCGGTAGCCTTCAGCTGATGCGAGCTTCCAGAAAGGAGTGGGGAAGGGAAAAAAAATCATCTAATGCAATCAAATCGATCTGATCTACACCATCTGTCGCCTGCCACTATACACAAACGTTAAAATAGGAAAACGGAAAACACTGACAACCCGAGAGGGCTGGTCTGCAAAGAGTTCATTTTTAGCAGAGCATAATTGGGTATGGTCGGCGTACAGTTACAAAAGCTGCTGTTAACCATCCAGTAGTGGATCCCAAACATGCTAATGGTGGATTAATTGAGGAAGATCTGACGTGCAAGCTTCATAGTCTCTTATTCATGACTTCCCAATGGGAAAGGACCAATGCCTTGTGGGACCATGGTAACATACAGTCAAAAAGCTGCTAAGAAAATGGCTGTGTGTTCACAGCACCTCTCTCTGATAACAAACATATGTCGACTAAAACGGTTTAGTAGAATGGGGGGGGTGTTGGAGAATAAAATTTTCTTTCCCAGTATAAGCAACCCCATCTTCCTTCCTTAAAGAAATGCAAAAATAGATACCATATCTTTACCACAGTGGAGGAAAAAAAGATGTTTTAAAAGATTTTTTCAAGATTAAATTCTGCCACATGAAAGAAACAACACTCCTGTGCAGCAATTCTAAAAAAAAAAAAAAAAAAATCTATTATCATTTTTTTCCTTACTGTGATCAGAGTAGATCTATAGCATGTGCAGTATATAGAAACTCAGCCCAGTTAATCCCACCAGGATTGACTGGATGTTGTTTAATGCCAGATACCCTTTTGGTTTCCTGAAATCAGGATGCCTCTTGGGCAAGACATTTTGCATCACTGAAAATTGACATAATGAACGTTAAGTGTGATTGCAGTGAGGAGATGGGGAGAGTTTTCTTTTTTAATTCTACAGTTATTCCCTCTGGCCAAAATTCCTTTTGGACTGTTTCCAGTCTTTCCTGATCAGCTGATGGGGGAGGTATAGGGAAGGGGAGGGAGTGGAGATACAGGGTCAGGGGGGACAAGGAGGAGGGAGACTGTAGATTACCAATAGCCAATAAATTCAATTCTACCTGGAATAAAAAAACTATGGCAATAGAAGAGATCACTTACTAATTGCTGATCATGATATTTAAATATAAATATAAACCAGTTTTTAAAATTAGTGGTTTATATGTGGAAAGAAAATAGTGCAAACAATAGAGTGACCATCCCTTACCCATTTGTATTTTTAAAATTAAAAAAGGAATACAGAGTTTATTATCTAGATATGTGATGTTCTTTTATTATCTATGTCCAAATAGGCCGCGTTTCCTCTAATTTTGTCATCCATTTGAACATTGAAAGTTGTATTTATTTTGATTTGGCTGCCTTTGAGAATATAAATTACATATATTCATAGTAAACAATTAGTGTTTAGGATATTCTTGAGATAGCTGAATATGTCTTCTGAAACTTTGATCATCTCTTTAAGAAAAAAAAAACCTCACAGTTATGAATTAGATTAGTCTCAAAATATAGCTTGAAGACAAACCAAACAATTTACCTGATCTTTTGTTTCAATATACATTAATTAAGCACTCTTTCCAACCTACACAACATTCCAGGGTCATAGTCAGAAATCCAAGTCTAATAGCTCAGCAACCTTTGTTGTCATTCGTGTCAAGCTATTGCCCCCTGCAGGTTAGGCTGAAAGTGCAGGCAGAATTTGGCCAAGTCCTCGTAAATTTACGGTAGTCATGTTACTCATTCTCTCCCAATACTTAAGTAGAGTCCATTTATTAACTTTAAGTTTGTTTATATCATAGTTTAAACTGTTTAGAAATAGCTAGTAAATTGAGAAAAAAATGAAATGAGATTTGTAGATAGAAGATTTCAGTTTTCCTTCTGAGAATTGCAGGGTGGAGCAGATTACCCACTTTGTTGTCACACAAGAAGTACCTTTTTGCACTCAATATTGTTTCTTCACCTTTTCATATCCTTTCCCCACAAGCTCCAGCAAAACTTAAAAACAAATGCAACAGAATTGGAATTATGATTTCTCAACAATAAAGAAATTATTCTGGGTAATTTACTACTTGATGTCAGTGTGCTCTAGGTAGACGCAATGAAGTGCATTTGAATCAAACCCTTTCAGAGTCTTCCTACTACTGATATGATGAGGACAATTACAATGTTTTTCTTGAATATAAAATGAAATGTTATTTCAACGTCCATGCTCCCGCCATCCTATCCTCCTCTCCTACAATCAACTTTTCCAAACAAGGCACCTCGCCAAGATGAAATAAATTTAGTGTTGACAGAATAGAGATTAAGTCAACTTCTCAACAGTATTAGAAGGTGGGGCAGGTTTATGGGAATGATTTCAGAAGGCTTATGGGAAGATTCTTTTATATTTTCGAAGTCATGATATAGCTACTTACACTGAGTCATAAAGAACCCTGCAGTGGTATTTCCCTATTATTTAAATACATATTTTATTGAACAATGGGATATCATTATGCAAAATATCATTAATTTTAATGTCAAATTAGCAAGCAATAAGAATTTTACCCAGTCAAATGTTAGAAGTATTATTTCCACATTGTGTTGAAGTAGTTAGAAACATGAAATGCATTATTCTATCTTAACAGCTATTCTGAAATGCACACAAAAGACTTAAATAAGGATAGTGGCAAGACTCAGGGCTTTCTTGGAGGATTTTTTTTACCCTACTCACTGATACTTTTTCCAGACCCTCTGGAATAAAAACATGGTATGGGAACTGGGGATGACTATGTCATATTTTGAACAAATCTAAAAACAAAACCAACCAACCAACCAAACAACAAAACCTGAAAACCTACCCTTGTTTTATTACATTTTTAAAGCTTGGTAAATTTCAAAAGGACAGTACATCTATAAATTAAGATCTTTGCCTCTACATTTCATTAATACTGTTGATCCAAGCAAAGAGAGGATTTGGACTAGGCTGTTGGGCTATTAATTGCATAACTTGTTGTAGCCAGAAGAGTGACTGGTTGCCTGCAGCTGACATTTCTAGCTGTCTTTGAGTGGACATTTTTCTTTCAAAATACATATCATATATTTGATATGATTACACATGATTTTATATATATATATATATATACATATATATAAGCACACTATTGAGCAAGACAATTTCAACTATTTTGATTCAAATGTCTGTCAAACGTCTATGGACAGAGTTGCTCTTAATTAGCGTCCAGAAAAGAGAGATGGTGTCATTTGACCTGTGGGTCTGAATCAAGGGCAATGATTTTTAGTTCTCCCCACACATGACGCAACAGATGGCCCGCAAGTGCCCTGAAAAACACAATTCTCTTCCTCTTACTATCATCACTATTATTCTAATTGTTTCTAAAGGATCCGAACAGGGTTCCAGAAACCTTGTAATGTTGTTATTGCCGGAATCCTGGGTTATTGGACATTCTTATCCTCAGAAGCTAAAGGCCAGGCAATCTTATTCATTTGTGTCCTATGACTCAACTCAGTTTCCAGTTGACGGGCCGTGTGTGTGTGTGTGTGTGTGTGTGTTCATCCTGAAAGTGCTTCTTTCCAGAGGTTTTCAAATGCAAATGGAGTGGGAGCGGTGGGAGTTTTGGTGGAGTGCGGTGTGTGGCTTGAGGGCATTTGGGGAGAGGGTGTCTCGGGCAGTAACTTTACACAAATTCAAGGCCATCACTACTGCTGCAGATCTAAACAAGGTAGTTCTGAGAGACCCCTTAAAAGATAGGAGTATCTTCCTTATCTCCACCGAGACCAGCTAAAGGCAGGTCCCAGTGCTCGCGCTGTTTTGAGAGAGGGTCCCGAAGGCTGCCGGAGGCCAGTTCTCGCGGGCGGGCCGGGACTCAATTCTCGTGTGGCGAAGGGCAGCGCGCCGGTCGCCAGGCCCAGTGCGCCAACGCGGAGGAAGGCCAGCCGCCCTGGGCCCCGGCTCGGCTCACTTTCCCCGGACGCCCCGGCGTGGGACGAGGGCACCGCTTTAGCCACATCCACTCTAGTTTCAACAGCTGCGGCCCGCCAGCGCGGTCTCGGACCCGGGCCTCCTCGGGGAGAGTAAGGGAGCGAAAACTCCACCTCCACCTTGGCTCTCAGCTCGAGGAAAGGAAGCCAAAGCAAAGGTGTGGTTACACCGGACAACGATACACAAACCGTTGCCTCTTTGGGTTAAGGCGGCCTGCGTTTTGCAGCCCCAGGAGCGCAAGGTGCGGTCCGCGCGGGGACGAGGGCACAGGGAGTCGCCGCCCCCGCTGTATCCCCACCGCGCGCTCTCTCGGGCCTCCCGCGTCTCGGCCAGCGACGTCGGCTCGCCCCCTCACACCCTCGCCGGGAAGGCTGCCCGCGGCCGAAGGCGACCTGGGCCGGAGGCCGGAGCGAGACGGCGCCGCGGCGCTTGGGAGCCAGAGTAAAGCGGAGGCGCGGACCCTGTTCCTGAAAACGCTCGATTCCTCCAGAGTTTGTCAAGTGTCAAGCAGCTCCAGGAAGGCGAGCTTTCGGGGAAACCCACTGTGTGGCTCACCCCGTTTGGTCTCTGTCAAGCCCTCGCCTTCCTCGTCTCTTCAGATCCTCCGCGCTCCCGGGGTCGTGGGCAGCGCGGGCTGAGCTGGCCGAGGAGGCAGCGCGGCTTTAGGCAGAGCGAAGGGGCCCCCTGCTGGCCGGACGCGGCAGGCGCGGCAACTCGCTCCTGGTTCCCGCCGCCCGGCCGCGCAGCCCCGCCCCGCCCAGCCCCGCAGCGACCCTCCAGCGCCCCCGGCGCTGAGGATGCGTTAAAAGAAACAGAAAACAAAACAAAACAAACAAAGCGCCAAAATCCACTCTCACCTCGTCTGCTGCTTAAAGGTAAGTGTGAGTCCAGCCTCTTCTCCCATGCCCCTCTCTGACCCTCCTCTGGTCCTCTGGGCTGAGATCTGGGGGAGACAAAGGGGCAACTCACCCCACCCCAAATAAATCGTGGCTGCTTTTGAAAGCACGTTTTGCAAACATAAAGATCAAACACAGACAGACAGACACACACACACACACACACACCCTCATCCAAACCCACACTTACCAGTCCGGAAGAGGGCTACTGATGTGCATGTTTCTGGAAGCATTTCATTAGCTGTTGGAGGAAACGTTTACTGATACTGCAGGTTGTAGGCAACACCAGTAATTCTGTGTATTGGAAAGAGGAGGGAAGACGAGGAAAGATTCCCTTTAGTTTAATCCTCCCTCCCATACCTGGACGTGAGTCCTATTTTCAGTCTCAAGTCCTAGCATGGGCAGAAAAGTTTTCATCCTCTTACTGAGAAGGAAGAGAGATTCAGCCCTTT